GGGGGGGGGGGGGGGTTGGGCAATGTTTTTGTTCATGATTTTTTTTCATACATCAACAGTTGACAAGATTATTTTTTTCTATTACATTTCTTTGCAAGATATTTACAGTCTCCAGATTGTCGGAAACGACCAATTCAATGTTTTAAATCCACTTGTATTATGTTTTTAAAATTTAGCTCTACTGCTCTCTCAACTTGCTCGATTTTTTTTCTCAATAGGTTTGCTGTGCACGATATTTTTCCCTGGATTTTTTCTGTGCGCGACCTTTTTTGTAATTGCCCAACCCCCCTCCCCCCCTCAAATATTTAATGGTCCGTCCCTAATTAAAATAATACCCTCCCTTCGTACTGATCGTACCTACCTTTTTCATTTTTAAGATAGTTACAACCAAAAAGTAAGACATCTTAATATGGAAGAGGGTGAGACAATATTTGTTCTCGTGAAATTGTGAAATGGCGAATTTTTGTGCCGTGAAACGCCATTTACATGCTTAGCCGTGATTGCCGATAATTTTGTCCGGGAAACGAGATATAATTGAGGCTAGCAGAACAAAGAATGGAGGAGTATTGAGAATTACAAACGTAAAGAAGAACATGCTTTGGTTGTAACAAAATTTTTAGCTTGCGTTCACTTCTACAGTACCTTCCACGTTTACCTGCCAATGCCCTTAAAATTTACCTCAAATTCAGCTCAAAATATTGGGGGGAGGGGGCCTATGCAAAGTTACTAATTATGCATATTTTGTGACCTTTACAAACATGTCAATGGAAAAAGGCACTTACCGGTAAAAGAATATGAATAATGCTCCTTGAAATGCTTTGAATGACAGTCGTCTATCCCCTTAAAATTACAAATCATTTTATATAACATTCGTGAATTGTGTACACAGGATACATTGATGTATACTATTACAAACAAGAAATCAAGGTAAAACATGTCGAAAACGATCTATTGATAACCTTTCATTTTGAGCCTGTTATGTTTCTCTTCATCAAACATATCATTGAAGTTCTCCTTATAAAAAGAAACGACAACCTGTATCAGTACGTATATGTAAACATTATCTGCTGGGCAAATTATGCAAATACTGCATGTAAACATTAGGAGAAAATGGATGGTACGAATTTTTCAATTTGAGCGATAGATATTGAAAATGATGATCTAACAACATTTCACTCAAAACTCGTTGTTCTCTTTTAAAAGATAAAAAAAAACATTCAAATGTTTATCATGCTGCAATTTCACAATCTCTCTTTCTTCAACTTGAATATGATTTTAAAAATGTTTAGAAAAAATGCAGTGAATATGCAGCATGAATGAACTGTTACTTGTTCTCACCAAGTATAAAAATAACGAGTGTTTTGGAACGCATCAGAGAATATTAGAAGTAATGTAATTGTCAGAATATGGTATCTTTGGCGAGACTTTTTTTATTTATTGGTTTACGGATTTGACTTTAAAAATAAGAGGTCGGTAGGTCGGAAAAAAATTGAAAAAAAAACGAACTGAGTATAAATGAGAACTGAAATTAATAATCTTTATAAAATTTTTTAACGTCAATTTCAAAAAAACGCAAAACGTGGCTAATCTACATATTGATTGTCGCAACGATAACATGAGCCAGCAGTACTTAGAGTCAAAGTTTACTTGAAGTGTACTTCATGTCAGAACCCCAAGTTAATTAAAATTAACTAAAATTGTAAAATTTTTGACATCCAAATTTTTTTATTTTTTTTCACTTTCTGAATATTTACGGTCGGCGGATCCGTAAACCAATGAATAAAAAAAGTCTCGCCTTTTTATGAAGTTGTAGTAAGTGGAAGCGTACTAATCAGCTTTACTTGCATCTGAAAGCTGAGCCGGATTACGAAGGACGCAGCTCAACCTGACCAAGTCGAAGGCTTTCTAACGCCTCTGACAGCCACCTTTTGACGCGCCTGGTCACGGTGGAGGGTTGGTTCGGAATTTATCCAAACCCCACCCTGTCAATAATCCCCGTAGGGAAAACCGGAGTATCCAGAGAAAACCCAGACTTTCGATAGAGCATTGACTGACTCTTTTTCTAAGTGTTATGAGTCCATACGGAGTATCGAACCTACGCGATCTCATATGTAAGATCGTCCTTGCTCCGACGACTGGAATTCTCGTACTGAATTTATTTTTAAATTCTTACTTTCTTCGATTCCAAATCATCCAATAACATTTCCTTGACTTCGGCACTTTCTTCAGCCTAAAAAAAAAATTGTCAGCACGTCAGGAAACAAGATCAAACAACAGCACAAGGTCAAAGGTATAATAGTAACTGCGTCCGTCATGCGGCAATGGAAACGGCGAAAACAAAAATCACAATTTCTCCCCATAATTAAATATTTCTATGTAATGGGCGGTTAAGTGTGTGATGCGCATGCCTGAACGTGAAAAATTACGGCAAATGTGCAAAGCAAATTGTAAAACAGTAAACCATAAAGTTTGAGATACTGTAAAAGAGTGTGTCATTCACAATTCTAAAATTATCGAGACTTACCTGTAAGTTGAGGTTTTATTTGGTTTCTACACACGCAAAAATCTCACTTGTAACAAGCCTGTCAACAAGCCGTCAACAAGTTGTCTTCGCACTGCTTGTCACAATTTGTCAACAAGTTTGGAACAAGCTGTTAATAATTTGTAACAACCTTGTTGATATTATCAGGTTTGTTACAAGGTTGTTCCAACAAGTCCGATACAGTCATGATATAGCAGTATTGTTACAACCTTGTGTCGTCAAACTTGTAACATTCTTGTTTATCATGACTGTATCAAACTTGTTAGAACAACCTTGTAGTGACAAGTCTGATAATGCCAGCACGCTTGTTGCAAGTTGTTAACAGCTTGTTCCAAACTTGTTACAACAACTGGGAACAAGCAGTGCGAAGACAACTTGTTGACAGCTTGTGAATAGATTTGTAACAACTTGTTTGCAGACTTGTAACAACTTGTGCGTTTTTACGTACTATACACGTAAAAACGCACAAGTTATTACAGGTCTGCAAACAAGTTGTTACAAATCTGTTCACAAGCTGTCAACAAGTTGTCTTCGCACTGCTTGTTCCCAGTTGTTGTAACAAGTTTGGAACAAGCTGTTAACAACTTGTAACAAGCTTGATGGCAATATCAGACTTGTTACGAGGTTGTTCTAACAAGTCTGATACAGTCATGATATAACAAGAATGTTACAAGGTTGACGACACAAGGTTGTAACAATATTGTTATATCATGACTGTATCGAACTTGTTGGAACAACCTTGCAACAAGTCTGATAATATCAACAAGGTTGTTACAAGCGGTTAACAGTTTGTTCCAAACTTGTTGACAACTTGGGACAAGCAGTGCGAAGACAACTTGTTGACAACTTGTTGGCAGACTTGCTACAAGATGCGTGATTAGCTAATGTGATGCGTGATGCGTGATTAGCTACACATGTGATTAGCTAATGTTGCTAGCTCATGTGACCCGTACTGACGTGACTGACGACGTAGCAAATTCAATAAACAAAGAAATCAGTGATAAAGAAAGCAAGAACTATATTCCTCACGAAACTCTTACATTTGCCTCATCTTCTAAATCTTTTAACCACATATCAACGGCCTGTCTTAATTTTCCTGTGAAGTCAAAGCCATGTGGGTCAAGGCCAGGTGTACGACTCAGCCAGTTCTTAGAATATAAGAAAAAAAGATTAGGAATACATTAGGTTGGTTTATTTTTATAATTGGTGCATGATCGTAAAGGTCCATACAGACCGAACGCGATTCGACTGAACGCGACGCGAATTTTCAGTTTTTAAAAACAATTCATTATTAAAACCGTCAACGGATAAAATTTTTACAAGATATGCAGACCAAATAGCTAAAATTGCTTAAGTGATTCCGAATACTTGAAAAACATAGAAAAATAGTGAAGTTAAGTGTCATTGAAAATTCGCGTCGCGTTGCCAAATCGCGTCCGGTCTCGCGGGGTCTGTATGGGCCTACAAATTTCGCGTAATATCTCAAAAACTGAATTTATAACCCCCCTCCCCCCCCTCCCCCCTAACTTTTTGATATAATCTTGCACTAGATATTCCCTTTACACCTACAAAATTTCAGAAACTTTGACCGAAGGAAATTTTAATAAATTCATTTTTAGTCCAAAATTTTTAGTCCAATCTTTAATTTCTCTGCTGTCGCTTAGGCCACATTGTTACCATAGCAACACACAATTTGCTTCCTTCGAACGATTATGTTTGAAGTATAAAGATTACACAAGCGTTTCTACTTCCAAAAAAAATCCCCATTTCACATAAATAGCAAATATTTTGCACCGCTGCTGTTTCTTTACAACTGTAGGGAGCCACCTTAAGCTAACGCAGGACGACGAATGTTATGAAATATGTTATTAAATTAAATATATATTCCAACGACTTACATCAATGAGACTTAACAAGGCAGGCTCATTTTCAGATATCCTGATACTTTCTCTCGCGCTCGAGTTAAGTCCTTCAGCTTCACTAAATAAAGGAAAAATTCCCAACTTCACTACAGGGGCTTCGGTGGCGCAGTCGGCAGAACAAGCGTTTTCACCTCTCAGGTCCTGGGTTCGACTCTCGCTATGGACTCATGTGAAAAGAGTCAGTCAACGCTCTGCCGAAAATCGTGGGTTTGCTCTGGGTGCTCCGGTTTCCTCCCACAGGGAAAGTCGACAGGGGTGGGTTAGGATAAACACAGTTAAGAAATTAATACCACAATTGCTGTAAAGATAAAATAGTCTAGACTTTAGGCTTAGGGGCTGTTTATATGGGAGGCGGGACGGGACGTTTGCCAACTTTGCCGGGTCGGGACGATTTATACATCCCGGGTTTAAGCTGTTTACATGATCCCGCTTTGCCGGGACGAGATGTGAGGCGGGCCGCCGGGGTGATTTTGACGTATTGAAATAAATCACGGTGCACGATTTACATTATCACATTATTTTTCTCAGTGATAGATTACAGTATAATTGTAAACGAAAGGTTGTTCAAGCAGCAATAATAATCTTCTTGAACTACGAGATCTTCCCTAACAACATTTGAGTTCGTTTAACCGGGGCATGTTTGAACGTTCGTTTAAGCCTAGTCATGTATTTCAATGCAGCAAAATCATCCCCGCCTTCCATCCCGTCCCAGCAACAAGTGTTTACATGGAAGAAAACGTCCCGGTTGAGGCGGGATCCCGGTTGCACAAACCGGGATCCCGCTTGCCCGGGACGAAAAACGTCCCCCTTACATATAAATATCTGGTGATAAATATAATAGAAATTTATACAAGCCGGGATCCCGTTCATAGTCCCGTCCCGGCAAACGTCCGTCCCGCCTCTCATATAAGAGACCTTACGATTTTAGGACGGCAACGCGATGGCAACAGCTACCAATACGACAGATCATTGAAAAGAATTGAGTAATTACAATATATGAATAATTTAGACTTTGTCCTCGCTCTGTTTACAACACCAAATCACAGATTTTCACGTCTTGATACAACGGCTACATTCCAAGCCGCAACGAGTGCAACTTCAAACTGGGTTTAGCAGAACTCTTCCCAACCATAAAACCCATGTCTTCAACCTCTAAAACTGTATTAAATTCATACGATTGATAATATACCACGAACTATCTTTACTACCATTTATATGAAGGAGTTTGTTTTGGCCGTCGCCGTCGCGTTGCCGTCCTAAAATCGTGAGGTCTCTATAAACAGCCCCTTAGTATGTGATCTGCAGGTAAGCGTATAATTAGCCATTCCGAAGTTGATGAGTGGACTGGGGACGAGTGTTAAAAAGTGCCCAAATTTGCCCAAATTAAGAAATGAACCAAATCACTAAAAAGACCACCTCAAAATTAGTAAGTATACAAAGTTTGAAGACGTTTGCAAGAATATCCTTCGAATAATAAGCTTTCGAAAATGGTGATATTTACTATGAAATGTATTGTAATTTTTGTTTTTGGGACGTGCGTCCCAAAAACAATCTTTTAATCAGTAATTTCACAATTTTCGAAAGCTTATTATTCGAAGGGTATTCATGTAAACGTCTTCAAACTTTGTGTACTTACTAATTTTGAGGTGGTCTATTTAGTCATTTGGTTCATTTCTTAATTTGGGCACTTTTTAACACTCGTCCCCAGTCCTCTCATCAACTTCGGAATGGCTAATACTTGATGTAAAGCGCATTTGATCATACTGTATCCACATGTAAATTTGCGCTATAGAAATGATAATCGTAACCTCTATTCAATGGCCTGGTATTAAGTAGTCCCAATTAAGTAGTCCCAATTAAGTAGTCCCAATTAAGTAGTCCCGATTAAGTAGTCCCAATTAAGTAGTCCCAATTAAGTAGTCCCAATTAAGTAGTCCCAATTAAGTAGTCCCAATTGGGGTTTCCTATTGTATTTGATCTCTATTAAACGGATGTTAACAAAATCACCATCTCACATACCTGTAGTCGTTGTTGTTATGTTTAATTCTTTTTTCCTGGGAACCACATAATGTATGGTATATTAGAAAAGAATGTGATTTAACTAATCTCTATTCATTACAAAATTAGTTTAAAAATATGGATTTAAAATGAATGAATTGTAATAAAATTGTCAATTTATTCAAATTTTCTCGCGACTTTACTTGTCATGCATGTAGCAGTAACTATATAAATTTGCAAAAATGTAAATCATGACAAACCTTGCATATTCCAAGTTTATTTTCTATCAGGCGAAATTGCCAACTCTGGAAACCTGAAGCTGGTGACAGATGCTTTCTAAAATTGAAGTTGCATTACATGATAAAGTTGTGAGGGCCCTGGTACAGGACTCAGGACATGAAACCAATATTGGGAGTTATAACAACGTAACTTGTGGATATTGTAGGCATTCAACGATTTAGAAAGGTTAATCCAATTCCTGTTAGAGAATTATAAATGCATGATTAGAGGTTTTGTCTTAAACTTTGGATATGTGCATAAAAATTGAATACAAGCCATGAGTGGTTGTAATATACAGTATTGCCCATGTACAGGTACCTGAATTTATCAAAGTCTTGTGCAGTCATGGTCTCCAATACACCAATTTGGTCAACAAGAATCTTAAATAGGAACAAAAGTCACTCTGACGGCTGTTATCAAAGAAGGAAGGATCTTCCCTGCGCAGGAGTCCGAGAAACCCGGACGAAATATGTAAGTGCTCATAAAATACCTGTTGTATTTTAGCAATACGGCCCAACCTAGATACGATAAGCAATGTATTTCCCTCATCAAGTTTCTACAAACATAACATAATTTGTTACCATAGGAGTACTTTAGTTTATATTGGGTTTTTTTATTTCTCGCCTATCGTGCTTTTTTTTTTCGTTTTTGAGATCTTCGCAACTCTGTTGTTGATCCTAACGCGTGTTTGGATAATACGGAATTAATATCATGCAACTGACACCAAACACATCAGGTACAAACGTATAGACTCCTTGCACGATAACGTCATGTCACTACAACTACCAGAACTAAAGCACGTATGGAGTAAGCATCCGAAAAACAAATACAGTTTAGTATTACTTCAGTATTGAAAACTGGCCTTTGAGCATTTCCATGTATGTTTAAAGGAAATTTGACCTAATTTTAACGAAAAAAATAATATTTCTAACTTTTAGGCTGTTGCAAACAAATAAAGTTCGCGAAGACTTGTGTTTTCCCGCGCTTTTATAATTTTAAATAAACAAAACTGGTAAAAAAAACTGTATTAATGTCAAAAATTATTTTCATTACTCTGCCATATCGCTTGTTGTATGTTTGACTAGAAATTGACAAAACATCTGAAAAGGGTTGAAAAACCATGAAAAAAGCCACAATTCGCAACTGTCCAATAGGTTCCTGTCCAATATCGTAAAATATTGGATCGGCACGTGACCCTTTTAACGATTACTGATTGGTTAAGTGCGCGTGAGTGTATAATAAATATGCATAGAAGTCTCTACAAAAAATTAAAGTTTGTTTCTTGCGTATTGGCGAAGAGAATGCCTCGAATGGCATACCGTTCTGAATAACTCTCTTAAATACCCCCATTGTTCGTCCACTTGACGACGTCACAATGCATACACCAGTCTCTGTGTACATTCCGTAACGCCAATACATTTGCCATCTCGCGGCTAGCCTGCGTAGCAGACGGTTTTTCGGGGGAGAACGTGCGGGCGGGAAAATTAGGGTGGGAGAACTGCGCGCGGAGGAGAAAATGGCAGGCGTTAAAAACCGTCTGGCGGTTTTCCATACATTT